CTTCCAACAGGCGGTCCATGGAAGAACAGTGTTGTGCAGAAGCAAAAAACACAGGCAAGGAATGCACACACACACACACACACACTATTTGTATATTCAAACACACTCGGATGATACACACGTATACAGGTGAAAGTTTTTAGCCAATCTCCCCTAATCGCCTCTTCCAAAAAAAGCAGATTCAGATTAATGGAAAACCTTTCTCGAATTGGTGTTGAATTTCTGAACGAAATCAAAATATTTTGGCTTTAGTGTTTTCTAAATGAACTGTCTTGACTTCAAACAACATCGTGTTTCAAATTTTATGTCCATTTTATTGTTTAAAAAAAGGCTAAACTCAAGAAAGAAAGAAAATGTGTACATGCCATTCCAAAGAAAACTTTTCCAAGAATTTTTGTTTGTGGAAAAAAATTTCATTTCGGGTCAACCCCAAATGAAATGTTTTAATTTTTTTAATTGCCCAAAATATCCCTCTTCATCCAGCTCCCAGACACTTCCATACACAGACACAATTGATGTGTACACATACATACACACCCATGCACAATGCAGAGGCCTTGTATGCAAACACTTGCTGTCGCACCACACACACACACACACACACACACACACACACCCTCACGTTGTGCACATGCGAGACATTCAGATGGGAAGCCAGCACTCGCAGCCGTTTGTGTCCATACACCACACAGAGGGACACACCTTGCTGATGGCTTCCCGGAACACACAGCCCACACCCTTACCCATCTCTGACCATTGCAGTAGGCAGCAATTACCACAGATTATCAGCCCGACAATGACAGGCTGTGTAAAGAGAGACACCGAGCCAACGCTGCCTCCCGGAGACTGGCATATTCAAGTACACTTAGGACATGAATAGCAATTTACGTGCCATCGCTAAGGCAAAACCACAATGGCTCTTTTGGCAGCCTCTTATTTTGAAGCCTGTTATTTGTTGGCGTTACAAGCTATAATCACAACAGCAACTTTCAAAACCCTTATCTGCCGTGACGCACCAAATCTATTTCAGAGCCGTAATTGCTATGTCACCAGCGAGTTTGCTGCTTAATGCACTCAAATGCCATTTAGTGTTTGCAGGGTCATTACGGCGAGCAGAAAGGAGAAGTGCACGAGTGGGGGGGGCAAGGTGGTGGCAGCGTTCAGAACA